TGTGTGTGTGTGTGTGTGTGTGTGTGTGCGCATGTGTGTGCGTGTATTGGATTTTTGATTAAAGTTTGTTTCAAAAGTTCATAAAGTTCATGTTTATATGGTTCAAAAGTTTTGGATCGGTAAGATTTGTAATTTTTTTGAAAGAAGTCTCTTATGTGCAACAAGGCTGCATTTATTTGCTTAAAAATACAGTAAAAACAGTAATATTGTGAAATATTAAATCACAATTTTAAGTAACCATTTTCTGTTAAAGCATTTTAAAATGATATTTCCTATGATGCAAAGCTGAATTTTCAGCGTCATTACTTCAGTGTCACATGCTCCTTCAGAAATCATTCTAATATGCTGATTTGCTGCTTAAGAAACATTATTATTATCAATGCTGAAAACAGTTACAGCGTAACATTTTTGTGGAAACCATGATACATTTTTTTTCAGGATTCTTTGATGATTAGAAAATTCTAAATAACATCATTTATTTAAAACAGAAGTCTTCTGTAAAAGTCTCTACTGTAATTTTTGATCAATTTAATGCATAATTGCTCAATAAAAGTATTAACTGCTTTCAAAGGTGTATTCGGAATACCTCTTGCATAGATGGAAGAGCTACATCCTGCTTTGCCGCTGGCTGCTCATTGGCGCCCTCTACAGGCCAAGAGGACTGCTGCCCACTACCTCTGTCCTCTGGCTGTTCAGTTCACAGACACAAAACAATGCAAAATATCAATGCAAAATAAACTTGACTAAATGGACATATCACATGTATTACTGTATCAATAGCAGGATGAGCCAACCATTTTACTACAAGTCAAACAAGCTTTTATTATGCTTCTGACAGTGTTACAGTAACCTAATTCATATTTATTGTTAACATCTGATTTACATGGCACTCTGCTTCAGGGGAAAATAAATTAAGCAGATAATCGTGAGAAATAAGATAATCATATTATGAGATATAAAATCACATTGTGCTGGAAAAAAGACACCGTAAACACTATAAAGATCCACGAATCAAAGTAATACTATGAAGAAATACCCAACAATCTTAAGTAGTTTCCAAAATAAACAACTCCAGCACTGAATGTTAATAGGCCATAATTGCATATTGGCTCTTACCACCAGCGGTTTCCTGATTCCAAGGTAGACTCTCCCAGGCGGAGCAGATTTGAGAACCTCTACAGCCTGGTCAAGCGAGCATGTGTCTAGTTGAGTGTCATTGACAAAAACCAGCTGGTCACCCGGGAGGAGCCCACCGTGATTGTCCGCTACCCCTCCAGGCACCACAGAGCGGATGACGATCACAGAAAGCACAACATCCAGAGGGTCCTGCAGAGGGCAATGCAGACCACAGCAAACACACAAATAGAAAAACACAGAGGGGAAAAAAAACATGAGAGCAATGCTGACCCTGATTTAACCTATACATCACAGTCATATCAAAAAGCAGATCAAGAAGACTGCCTTTTGAAGTTTAATTTATTTATGTTTAAATTTTAATACAAACATTTAATTAAAACAGCACCTATGTAAGCAGAGAATAGAAATTTGCAAACAAGCAGGGCCACCGGGTCACTCCTGTTGTGTTTGAACCCTACTTGGAAGGAAAAAAAATTTATATATGTATAGTATTAGTAGTACATATTTATTTAATGCCATGTCAGCATCTAAGGCTATTTTCACTGTATATATATACACGTGTGTGTATATATACAATGAATATATATATATATATATATATATATATATATATATATATATATATATATATATAGTGTAAAATTAAGATGTGATGGTGAAATTAAAACGTACTTCATAACAGGAATGACCCGGCAACCCTCGCATTAAAATCTGCTTCCAAAAGAGCGTGACTAACTTGCTGGAAGGCCAAATGAGGCCAACTTCCCACTCTACCATCCCAAGTGCTACGGTATCAATCACATCTCTGGGGAGCTCTGCCGTAAAACTGCAATTCAACCGATTTGATGTCTCCAACAATATATTTCATGACCCATATGGGCGGCTTTTATGTGGCGAATGACAATATAAAAGTGATTAACAAGTAGTTATTTGAGAGTAAAAACGGAAGCAGGAGCGCAGTCATTAGTAATCTCATCTATCTGCCCATGAACATTTACGACCAACCGTGTCAAAAGACCTGACGAACGGACGATCCTTGCATTTTCTGAGATCTCTTCTTCTAATGTTAAAAATTAAAAGTATGTTGTTTTGAGTCATTACAGCATCTGCAGTTGACACCACTTTCGGACAAGGCCACAAAAGACATGTCAAATGTCAAGGTTCAGACCACAATGACCACTCAGAAAAGGAGATAACATATTATTGACAAGGATTTTTTTACAGCAGAGGCCCTGAGTGAAACTGTGGACAGCAGACCAGGAAATTTCACCCAGCCCAACCATAAAAAGTGGCTCAGCAGGCCCAGCAATTACTGCCCCCTGATTACCCAGTGAGCCACTGCTGCTTTCAGAGTGAGAGGAACTGAGGCCTGCTAGAAGGGAAAGAAAGAGAAAAAAAAGACAGGAAAAAGTTGGAGAGAGGATTTGAAGTTCCACTCCAGCTGGCGTTTTAGGAGGACACAGGCTGCATTGTCCGGCTGCCGGGTTCCAGCCAAGCGTGCTTTGCTTTCCAAGCCCTGCTCTCATCCCACATGGCCAGTGATGTCAGTAGAGTAGCTTTTATATGAGAAAAAAACCAAGGGGAACGGGCCAGCACAGGGGTCACCTAATATGACAATATGTCACCTGCTACAGAATAAAGATACCGATCAGAATGGATGTTCACATGAGAGATGGAAAGAAAGTGAGCTAGGTTGCTCCATTTCTTATTCATGTTTCCATCCGAGCGCACATATGATTTAGATGGCGTACAGTACATGGCTCATTGGGGGAGCAGCTGTCTTCCATGTTACAGGTGTGAAGAACATCTCCGGATCCAAAGAAAACGACAATCCCAGAAGTCCCTGGCGGATGGTGAGTTTCCACACAACCACGACAGCTAAAAATAGCCAGTCAAAATTGGATTAAATTAGTTTAGGTCAATGCCAATGGGCCCGTCATGATGCTTTCCTGTGGTCTACATAACCTTAATCGTGGTTAAAAATGTCGGAGAGCTAACGGATGGGTATGAGCATTGGCGGGTTGAAATTCTTCAGCGTGGTGTCAGGTGGACAGTAAATCTGCTGTTTCGCAAGAATCAATGGCAGGCCAAGTCATCTGTTTTGCTCCTGCGCTCTGCCTCACCTTCAATCTTGCTGAACAGAATACCAGGAACTCCAGAATGTCTGTCTTTTGCTTTCTTTTCTCTTTTAATCCTTCTTTTGGTTGTTCTCACTGTAGTTGCCTTGAGAAAAAGAACAGAGGGTGCCCACTTCCACAGCATGAATGAGAAAATTGTACAATTGCATAAATTCCTTGAAACTACACTTTTAAAAATAAAGGTTCTGGCATCTATGGTTCCATGAAGAACCTTCAAAATCCATGGAATTTTTCAAAATCCACAAAGATTCTTTATAGTGTAAAAAGGTCTTTCGTTCATTAAAAGTTCACACTAAGAAAAAAATGGTTCTTTTAAGATCTGTTCATTGACTCTCGAACCATCAGGTCACATCTGCCCAAATGTTGCCATTCTAGTTTCGAAAAATATCTTGACATGTATGGCGTTATTTTAATGACAAATGTCGAGAAACCATTATTGTAGAGCGAAAGCACATAAATATAATGCGCGAGCGCGAATCTCTTTTATCTAAACACAAACAAAGCAGCATATGAAGTTCTTGTGGTCATATATGTATTGTGTACTTGGATTGATACACAATACTTAAGATAGCCTACTTAATACTTAATACCGATACTTAAGATTTGGAGACCAAATATAACACTATAATGAATTTCTCATATTTGTCATACATTATATTATATTCTATGTGTTTAATGCATTTACAGTCAATGTAATTACATGTAACTGTCATATAACTGTATATTCACTGTTTTAGAGGAGAGTGCCATTGAATGTGTAGCTAATACGAAGTTTTCACAAAAACAAAAAATTTAACTAAAATCAGAACTGAAAACAAACACTGGATGATAAAAAAAATAAATAAATTAAAAAAAAATCCCAATAAATGTCAAAACAACGATGCTATCAGAACATTTATTGTGAACATATCTTGCATCATTTACATCTATTTTTGCAGTTGATGTTGATTGATACTTATTATTGCCATCATACCAACTGAGAATTTATTGCAATGATTTTAAATTCAGTTGAGGTATCTGACATATGACATAACATCGATCTTTTATATGACGTCTTTAGAGCCATAGACTACATAATATGTTGTTTTTAGATAAATTGCTCAGAAAACAACCAGGACAGAGGTTATAAATCATCCAATCACGCACTTTCATCGGTCAGTCGTGGAGGTCTGATTGGTTAAGGCTTTATTTATATAGCACCTTTTAACAGTCTTTACAAAGTACGTTACAGAGAGATGCATATATGCATTCACAGAAAATAATTAATAGCGCATAGAGAGATTTGTGAGAGCACAGGACACAGTTTGAGCAAGAGCAGAGACACGTGTTTACGAGTCCGGTTTAGTGCGAGAGCAAAGGAAATCCGCGGGCGAACGGAGAGATTCGCACTCGCGCATTATATTTATGTGCTTTCGCGCTACAATAATGCGCTCTCGACATTTGTCATTAAAATAACGCCATAGACATGCAGAAGTAAAATAAATGGATGGCAGAATAAATTCAGTTGAGGTATCTGACATATGACATAACATCGATCTTTTATATGACGTCTTTAGAGCCATAGACTACATAATATGTTGTTTTTAGATAAATTGCTCAGAAAACAACCAGGACAGAGGTTATAAATCATCCAATCACGCACTTTCATCGGTCAGTCGTGGAGGTCTGATTGGTTAAGGCTTTATTTATATAGCACCTTTTAACAGTCTTTACAAAGTACGTTACAGAGAGACGCATATATGCATTCACAGAAAATAATTAATAGCGCATAGAGAGATTTTTGAGTGCACAGGACACAGTTTGAGCAAGAGCAGAGACACGTGTTTACGAGTCCGGTTTAGTGCGAGAGCAAAGGAAATCCGCGGGCGAACGGAGAGATTCGCGCTTGCGCATTATATTTATGTGCTTTCGCGCTACAATAATGCGCTCTCGACATTTGTCATTAAAATAACGCCATAGACATGCAGAAGTAAAATAAATGGATGGCAGAATGGTACCCACTTTGTTTGCTTTGACATTATTCACTGCTTTCATGCTACTAGCTATGACACTAATATTGACAAGTGCATTGAAGTCTTAACGCAAGCCAAGTGAAAGCACGAGGAGGAACAATGCATAAACTGTTTTTTATTTTAAAGCTTACAGCTGTGGGCAGCTGTTTGGCATAACAACAGGAGGCACAGACAGTGCAAGCATGACAATGGTAGTAAATCCAGACACATCTTTCTTTGGATCTGTCACAAACTGGATCCTAATATTGGAAGACACTATTTCGAAATGACAACACGATATTAGAACAATTGTTCATGGCTGAAAAACGCAATGCACATCCTTCTTTAACATATTAACATTAAGGACAGTGTCCTGTAGTCAATTTGGTAGCTTATTTTCCTGCAACGGTAATAAAATAGCCCTTGGTCAGTCTCTGCAGCTTTAAGCCACAGAATAAATAAACAACAATAAATAAATAATAACACTCTGGGATGATTTATGACTCCACTTTAAAACATTCACTGGATGAGACTAAATGCTGTATTGATGTGCAGGTTATGCGCTTTGAACCATCGAAATGATTCAAAAATGCATTCTCTCAGATCTCTTCTCCTTGGATGGCATGAATTATTGGAGCCATACATTCACTACCGATGTATCAAATACATTTGTTTTGCACGCCGAGAGTTCACAGTCCACTTGCAAAAGGTCTTTCATATAATTGTATACAATTTCATGGAAAATGGCATTTGCAAATGCAAGAACCTTCGGAGAACATGTTGCAGATCAAATTCTTCTTGTTCTTCATGCCATAATTTCACTCAACAAGTTTATTTTTTTGAACGGAGACATTTCTCTTTTTGAAGCTGGTGTAGGGCCGACATCCTATCCAAACAGAAAGTTACGTTAAGCTACGTTCCCTATGGGCAGCTTACATCTACCCTAAACCCTTTGCGGGAGAGCTGCTCAATCATATTTCAGTTGAGCCTGGCTGTACCGTGACTTCATACGCACACTTCAATTGTTAGAGAAAACTCATAGTAATGACTTTTAAATGGCCATGAATTAACATTAAGGACAGTGTCCTGTAGTCAATTTGGTAGCTTATTTTCCTGCAACGGTAATAAAATAGCCCTTGGTCAGTCTCTGCAGCTTTAAGCCACAGAATAAATAAACAACAATAAATAAATAATAACACTCTGGGATGATTTATGACTCCACTTTAAAACATTCACTGGATGAGACTAAATGCTGTATTGATGTGCAGGTTATGCGCTTTGAACCATCGAAATGATTCAAAAATGCATTCTCTCAGATCTCTTCTCCTTGGATGGCATGAATTATTGGAGCCATACATTCACTACCGATGTATCAAATACATTTGTTTTGCACGCCGAGAGTTCACAGTCCACTTGCAAAAGGTCTTTCATATAATTGTATACAATTTCATGGAAAATGGCATTTGTAAATGCAAGAACCTTCGGAGAACATGTTGCAGATCAAATTCTTCTTGTTCTTCATGCCATAATTTCACTCAAGTTTATTTTTTTGAACGGAGACATTTCTCTTTTTGAAGCTGGTGTAGGGCCGACATCCTATCCAAACAGAAAGTTACGTTAAGCTACGTTCCCTATGGGCAGCTTACATCTACCCTAAACCCTTTGCGGGAGAGCTGCTCAATCATATTTCAGTTGAGCCTGGCTGTACCGTGACTTCATACGCACACTTCAATTGTTAGAGAAAACTCATAGTAATGACTTTTAAATGGCCATGAGAGTACAATCTTACTTAAAACTAAACCACCACAGCCCGACCCTTCAGATCAGTTGTTTGACTTCAAGACGGCCTTCATTAATCTCCATTACCAGGATGGCTAGTACTACCAAGGGGCTCCTTCTCATGTTGCCATGTAGCTTTTCTTACTTCGAGATCTCCTTCTTGTCAGATAAAAAAACTGAGGCGTGACTCCAAATGATTTTGCCGTCGCCACTTCACGTCACTCACGCAGTCAGGGGTATCATTTCGGGAAGAAAAACTCCCTGGTATCTAGCTGTCAGTATGACCATGGGCTCCCATCAATCTAGCTGCGGTTACAAGGTTTCCTTGCGTTGGGGTTAACACTAGTGATTGAGACAAGAAAAAGGGAAGGAGGGCGGTAGAAAGAGGGGGAGATTGAAGGTTCTGGAAGGCTTCGAGCGTGTCTGCAGGTCTCGAGGTTGCCTACTCGTCCTTATCAGCTCAGGCCTCTTACTGGAAAGAACGGCAAAATCAATTTCCCCCTTGCAGACTGAAGAAACCCTGGCGCATGTGCCGCAGGAAACAGAAAAGAAGTCAAGAAGAAAGGTTGAGAGATTCCTCCTCCATTAGAAGACGGCAGAAGACCGTACCAATCATTGCATTTTGGGAGTTGCTCACTTCTGTCTTTTTGGAAATTCCTTTCTTATTTTAACACGTTTTTTCACAACTCTGCAAATGCCTACACCCCCTCCTCCACTGAATCAATTCCCACCCATCATGCATCAGGCCCTCGGGTTGAAAAGCGTTTGTTTCGGTGTAGATAAGCAAGCAGACGGGGCTAGGTGGAGGGGGCTCAGCTGGTGCAGAGCACGAAGACTATGAGTTCGACCGAGGGGAAGCTGCGCAGGTCAATATGGCTTCCAATAAACCCCAGGGTGCACCAGCAACTCCTCCAGAAGATCTGCAAAGTAAGCTTTAGCGTTCTTCACGACAATGATCTATGATCCAAGTTGCAGGACTGCGAAATTCTTCTCCTCTAGCCTTGGTGGTGATGAGATGATATCAAATTCAGTGCGCCGATGCAGTATTGATGCAATTCGTTTGTACTTGTTCATGCTGCAAAAACAAACAAAAACCCCTGCGTAGCTTCATACGATCAAGAAAAATAAAACGAAGGACTTTAAGTCAGCAAAACATTTTTTTTATCATAGCACAGAGCCTATGGACTCTCTCCCGAGTTTCCTCATCCCTCCTCCATCTTCATTCCTTCATTTAACAGAGAGATGAAGAGAAAGGAAGAATTTAAGGGATCACTGCTCAGGTTACCGCCATTAAGCAGCAATGTAATTCTGTCCATGTCGCCGTGGCCCCCATCACTCACTGACGAGGAAAGAAGCATATCTTACCATTAAAACATGATCTCCGTTCAGTTTCTCCACGATGCGGCGGCCATTTATTACAGTCCTGATGAAGTTGCGAAAGCACAGGCATGCTTTTCTCCTGCCAATACCGTTTCCCTGCATGAAATCAATTGGAACCCGTGGCTGGATAATATAAAACACGAGGCGTCCCACAGGACCGGCGGAGTGCAGGTCTGCAGGAGAGGTTCTGCATTCTAAGTGGCCTCATTACATGATCACTTCTGATTCAGGATCAACGTGCAGTTATGTACTAACCCTGATTAGAGGGCTAATGAAGGAAGGAGGAAAGCAGCTTTTCGTACTAAGTGAGCAGAGCAAAGGGTTTGACGGCTGGCGCGGGGCCAGATAAACAGCGGCGGCCCTATTTGGAAAGGTTTCACGGCTTTCTTTTGTTTAGTGTCCAATGACTTGTGACATCAACGCACGTTTCCTATGATCACACTTTTGGAAAGTCAAGGGGGATTAATTGTGTCCAGTCTCCTTTTTCCCCCCATTTAAAGGACAGTTGACAGAACACCGTAAATGTCATTACTTTACTTAGCTTTTTAGAGTATTTATGGATAATTGGTACTGTTTTTGAACAATTTGATTTGATTTGTTATTTTATCTATTTTTATTACAGTTTTTGCAAGACAACATTATTCCTATGTTCTAAATAACATAAAAATTCTGGTATTACTTAAACCTAAGATTAACATAAGATGCGTTTCCACTGCAGGAACTTTCCCCAGGAACTAGGGACTTTGGGCCGGTACTCCGTGTGTTTCCACCGCAGGAACCAGGATCTAAATAATGTTCCGGGTAAAAAATTGCCCCTCAGAAAGACCCTGCGCTTGCGAGGTAGAACTTTTTCAAAGGTCCGGAACTTTCGGGGGCGGGACTTGAGCGCTAAACATGCTGATTGGTTGAGTTCACGCAGCATTGTATTTCAACCACCATTTGCATATATATATATATATACATATATATATATATATATATATACATATATATATATATATATACATATATATATTTTTTTATATTACTGTTATTGTGTCATGAAATGTAGTTTGAAAAGTATTTCAGGCGAGAATGTAGTGGTTTAAAACTCAAATCCGCGGTTTATTTATAAAAACGGCGCCTATTTGAAAATGTGCTTTGCCGATTTCGAAGACGGGAGCTCCACGCGATTAGCCAGCGCTCAGTGCTCATGTATCCCGACGAGAGCAGCAAGTTTTGGGTAAAACTTAACAGGTAATCTTTGGTCTTTATTCTATTAATCTATTAATATGTTAAAATTAAAATTAAAACAGGCAATGTTTGATATAATATTTAGTTTCATTGTAATGTAGACCATGTACGTTCCCTGAACATTTCTGCGGCTATTAATGTTTAAATGAAAACGAAAAGGGGCAATGGTGTTTGATATATTTCGTCTTATTGTAAATACAGTGAGGAAAATTGCAGTAGCCAAGGTGAGCTGACTGGTGTTATCAAGTACGCTGCTGTTTGCAGAATTACCGGACTTGCGTTGTCCCGTCCACAGGAGTTCACACTCCTGAGTCAAACTCGCGAAGTCCGAACTACCGAGGATGCAAGTCCGAAATTTGTGTACTTGGTATTGAAACGCTCGCAGACCTACGTCACCAGACTATTTGCCTATTCTTCTTGGTACTTTAGACAGCGATGGAAACGCAGACAGCAACAGGTCTGGGGGGAAAAAAGTTCATGGTACAATTGTTCTGGGTAATTTCGGTGGAAACGCGGCTATACAGTTTCATAACATGCAAACTTCAATTATTTTGTAGATATATACAGCTTTACATGTGCTATTCATTTTTACCCCACAAACTTGAATTATATGAAGACTTTACATACATTGACAATGTTTTATAATGATATCATGTCAAATGTAAGTCACTTTGGATAAAAGCATCTGCCAAATGAATAAATGTAAATGTAAAATGTAAATGTTTTTAAAACATAGACCATGAAGACGTCATCATAATACTTGTATAGTGAATTGTGACTAGACCTCTTTCTTATATCAGTTTGCATACTGAATTTTGATTGGTCTTGTTTTTACTGTATATATTTATTAAAATATAGCCAATTTTACAGTGCAAGGTGATTGTGTTGGTTCTTCCATGCAGATGATACAAAACAACACTTCTTGTAAATGCTTCTTGAAATGTAGATCTAGTTTTCTATGGTTTTTCTCAGAGACAAAGACAAATATGAAGTTACTCTCTCCAAAAGAAGGTTTCAAAAAGACAAAAAAAAACAAAAAGAAATGAGTTAATTCCCCACCTGGTAGTCAAGTATGCTGAAGCCGAGACCTCGTTCTCCTTTCTCTAGTTCTACCACCTGCACATTCTGAGACCATAGAGCCAATTCCCCTTCATCCTCCACTTCTTCTTCGTCATCCTTCTCCTCGTCCATCTGCTCTTTCTCAGGGCTGCTTGGCTCTTGGGGCTCTTCTTCATCGTTAACCTCCCGCTCCACTGCTGTAGCCTGACGGGCCTGAAAAGAAAAGCACAAATCACGATGAGATGGTAGTGGCTCTCAATTGGTGGGCTGCGACCCCATAATGGGTTGCAGGTCTGTTCTGGTGGTGTTAACTTAATCAATCAAACTATGACTTTAAAAGACTATATAGTCTATATAATGTTACAAATTTTTCATATTGTAATTAAACTTTCTGAGATTTTATTTACTTATTTTAATTTGTTTTTTTAAACTACTTTGGTGCCACATGTAAAATCTAGAACCTGAAGCAAAACCAGTAGAGAACAACTGAGCTAAAATCCAGTTGTAAAATTTTATTACAGGATATGAACAAACCTGAAACTCTTCCCTCATGCTGTTGCGTAGACTTGTATCTTTGGCAAACATGGAGAGGTTATTCTCAATCTGTAAAATTATTACAAAATGAGCAGGCATATATTATTTTGCAGTTTTGTTTCAAATTATTGGCAAATGCAGAGTAACGTGCGAAAGCCAATTTTGACTTGCATTTGGCAGTTGTTGAGTGTTAATTTTGGACTCTCTTGCGTGTATGTACTCGGTACCTGCTCCTGTAGGCTGGCTGAGGGGCTGGATGAGTGCCACTCTTCAGATTCAGGGTGGTATTCGCTGCCCTCTTCAGCAAGGCGTCTGCAGCAAACCAAAGTAAAGGGAGGAGGAACCTCTCGGAGGAACGCAACAGCCTCTCGTCTGGATTTCCCATACAACTGCACGCCATTCACCTGCAAATACAAAAAAACATTTTATTGGGAGAATCTTCACCCACAAACGTACAGAAAATCTATCACTGCACACAATCGACAATCGAACACTAGGGGTACAAAAATAAGGTCACTTATGAAGTGTAACTTGCTTTGACAAGGATGTGAGAAATCATATTAAAATCCTATGGGGTGCTTATTAGGTTGGTGACTATATTACACACGGTCTTCTGTGGCATTCAACTGGCCATCTTTGATTGGCTTTTCATGGAGTGGGCAAGCCTGAAGCTGCTATGGCGAGTGGGGGCAGCACTGTGCCATCTGCCCAAAACAGGAGGAAACCATGGTCTCCACACATCTTTCCCTTATACACACACACATACACGTACTAGGGATGTGCGCGACGACTAATTTGACTGTCGTTTAAATGAAAGTTTTGTATCCGACTAGTCGACTAGTCTAAAAGCAAGAAACCCCCTAAAGATGGTAAGAAAAAAAAAACTGTACGTGCGTGTAGCATATATAATAGCCTATATCTGAAATACTTAATCTATGAATCACACTGTCAAATCCCTCAATGAATTCTGCTTGCCGCACACTTGCCTAGCGTTATCATCATTTCATTTTAGGCGGTCGTTAAAAAGAAAAATAAAGAAGAGCATACACTCAACGTATGCCTACGTTTAAGGCTTTTAAAAACGTACTTTGTGTAGGCTATATCGTCAAAAAACAAAACAATGCAACAATGCCCATTTTACTTACTCAGACCATGCGTTATTTGTTCAGTGAAATGATCAGCGTGGTCTGGTGAAAGACGGGACCTGAGGCGATTAACAATAAAATTCCTGCACTTGAAAAAACACGCTCGGCAGGAACTGAAGTCGCAGGCATGCAGAGATAACGAAAAGCAAGCCGATAGAGTTTCAGAAAGCACCTGGACATCCCGCACCACCACCGAAGTGGGTGTTCGTTAGAGGAACAGACGGCGCGGACGGGATCGCAGCGCCGGTGTTGTGCCGAATTCTGCACCCCTGCCAGATTATGCACCCCCTCGTTGAAGTCGCTACCTGATTGCCTAATCCCAACCCCTTCCCCACACCTACTCCTAAACCTACCAATACTAGGGGGTGCATAATCTGGCAGGGTGCAAATTTCGGCACTACACCGGCGTGTTGTAGTGAAAGACGTGATTGACACATTTGCTGGCTTTGGCCAGCCTCTAAGCTAACGCGTGCCTGTATTGAATAGGATTACGCATCGCTCAAGTAGTTATTGTAAGACAATTTGACATTACACAGTTTACACAAAATTTTTCCGTTTCCTTCTAATTCAAAATAATCCCACACCTTGCTCGTCTTTCGCATGGTCATTTTTGAACTCGCCGCAACAGACACGAAGAAAACGCATGTGAGGTCTGAGGTAAAAATGTAGTTTCCACCCAGATAAACTTTTAAAAATACTGTATTATTTTTCAAACGTTTTATTTTAACTTGTTATTTAAAATGTTTAAATGCAATGTTAAAATGATGGTAATTTGAATGATAAAATCATGTTTTTCTTTTTCTTTTTTTGTGTAATCGACTATTGTTTTCAGTGTCGACTAGTAGGAGCTGTACCATTTAGTTGACTAGACCCGCACATCCCTAACACGTACACACCATCACTGTACCACTGGGCTTCTAAGAATCTAGCAAGGCCAAAAGGAGTACATTCGGATGGTTAGGTTACACTGAAATATGGGATTTTCATAAACAATTCTTCAGAGCCTCCAACAAATGCACTGGCCCCAGGACGTAGCCTTGAGGTACGCCACATCTATCTATAAGCCACTTCCCCAGTAGCCCTGCAAATCTCCCCTGCTTTAACCATCCAAGCTCCTGCCAACAGCAACAGGCTGAAGGCACAGCGGCCCTCGGCCACCAGACCAGGTAGGAGGGGGAAGTTTAGAGGGAAGGGGGCAGGAAGCAAGGCCAGTGGGGAGGTTAGGGCAGGGGACAGTCATGCAGATGGCCTCGGTCAGACTCAGGAGCCCTCCTGCCAGAACATCCACGAGCCAGCAGCAGCAGCAGCAGCAAGCCTTCCTGGATGCTTGGTGCTGGCAGGATGCAAAGGTCAGTGTTATTAAAGCAACCGAGAAGAGGCTCACCAAAGCAAGCCAAGAGCAAAACTGGAGGCTGGCCAAACCCTGAGAGCCCACGTAACCATAACGCCAAATAGTGAGGGTGCAGGGAAGACACACATCGGCAGTGTAGATGCTGTTTAACGCACTTTAAAATGACTTTACCTCCAGAAGCTCATCCTCTGGTCGAAGCAGCCCATGTTTTGCCACTGGACCCTCAGGAGCCACTGTGGAAATGTAGTGATGTCCATCAAAAGTGTCTAGTTCCACGCCCAAGCGCATTGTGTGTATTGGGAGAAGCTGTAGAAACATAATTTTATGGTAAGACTCACTCATTGTAGTCACTACTGAGCATGACTGGGTGAGATTTGATATACATCTTAATATTTAGGTGTTTGCTCAAAAAGTGTTTTTTCAAAATGCTAAAACACAGTAAAATCAAAATTCCACAGTTTTTCACTAAATGAACACAAGGATGAAAAAAAAATTCTCTTTATATGCACTAATATTACACTATTTTTTACTAAAACACTTGAAAATATTAAAAGCTAGGTGGGGACTTAATAATAAGACTTTTTTGTGTGATCATTCAAACAAATTGTTCAGGAATTTTAATTGATTCATTGCAACAAATTGATTCACAGAAATTAATTAAACGTATTAACTTGTGAGGAGCTAAAAACCATCCTGATATCTTAATGCTCTCATACTTGCAAGTCATGAGACAAACAAGGATTATATATGACCAACTCGCTACCATCTCTACTATATATTATGAATTATTGATACATCGCCCGGCCCTACTATAGAGATGAATGAACAAATTAATGAATCATAAATTATGCTGTTTTCATGTTACCTTAGAGTACTTCTGCAGCTCAATATCATCGTCTATGACAGGGTCAAGCTGTACAACCTGTAAAAATAAAATAAAATGCAAATAAAATGTGAATAAAACATGAAAAATAAAAGTGAAAAACAAACCCCCAAAAAAAACTAAACAAAAAAATCAAACATTTCTCCATAGTGGTAACCTCAAAGTGGTCAACATACTCCCTTTATGGTAAATAAACCCAAACAACAGTGTGTCAGCACATGAACTCAAATCCAATAGGAGTCAACTGAGGCAATCTACAGCCAGATTTAGCTGGTCGATCGAACATCTCTTATCACAGCATGCGTAAGTGCTGGCGGTTCTTGCTGATGTGCAGTTTGCTTCATGTTTAATTGAGAGCCGCACTTAGCATCTGTTAACATTACTTCCCCTACATTTTTGCTTACCATAACATCATAATGTGGACCGAGAGCCTGCTCCCATTTAGCACGAAGCTCCATCTCCGTCAGCGGGGCCGGCTCTTGCACTACAACACACAATAATGAGAGCAGCATTTAAAGTTAATTACCGCCATTTGGGTGCCCACTGTCCGTGACAGAGTGAGTGGAAACGTATGACATTAATGTCAGGTGCTGCATACTAGCATGGGATTGATGTCAGGCTGACGGATGAATATAATCAGAGGGCCGAGAGTGCGCTGAGGGCAAGAGTTGAGAGAGGAGTCAGCAGTGATACTGCAGAAAAAGACAACGGGACGCCTGGGAACAGTATCGGCTGGAAGCCCAAAGGGCAATGGAGGCAAATAAATGGCTGGAACAGCTTTTATGGGCACTTGTGACCCTTAACTATGATATGGGGCAGAAGTAATAGGGGGTTGCAGAGAAATATGCTCTAGCTAAGAAAAAAATAAGTTATTCTGTAACCTAAGCTGTAAATTTAACAAGACACTTGCCATGAATAAGGTACAATTTGATCTCCCGTTACTACAAACAACCGAGTCACATTAAATAAGTCGATAAAAATAAGCTAACATAAATAATACCTAGTTACAAAAACATCACATTTCAGTACATCACTTTAAAGTTTTGCCTTTTTTGGCTGCGTGCAACAAATTAAAATCATACAATGTCATAATGGTGACAGTCTTTTGAAAAGACATTCAAATTATCATAGTAAAAGTTTTTATTTATTTATTATTATTATTAACTACTTGAATTCATAAAAACAATTTAAAAGTTTGGAATCTATAATGTTTCTTAAATGATTTTGAAAAGTCTCAAATGGGCACCAAGGATGTAGTCATTCAACCAAAAATGCAGTAAAAACAGAAATATTGTAAAAAAAAAAAATTACAATATAAAATAACTGTTTGATATTTGAATATATTTTAAAATACAATCTATTTCTGTGATCAAAGCTGTATTTTCAGCAGCCATTACGCCAGTCTTCAGTGTCACATGATCCTTCAGAAATCATTCTAATATGTTGATTAGCTGCTCAAGAAACATTTATTATTATTGTTATTATTGGGCTTAATTTGCTACTTTATTATTTTTGTGGATTTTCTTTATTTTTTTGGTCACATTTAATCAATATCATGGCTCTTTGCTGAATAAAAGTAATTTATTTCTCAATTTCTTAAAAAAATAAAAAATAAAATAAAAAGTAATAAAAACAATTGTACCCACCCCAAACTTTTAAATAGTAGTGTATATTTTATTAAAAACAAAAGCGGCAAACCTCATGTAAACGAATGAAAAATAAACGGCTTTTACTGACCACTTGTACAAAAAGCAGAAAAAAAAGCTTTTTCAAGAGTTTCGGTCCCAGCTGTGGACTGGTACGCTAAAGCACATTACAATAAAAAGTGAAGTAAGTGAGTGAGTGAGAGCGAGGGATGTAGACCTGATTAAATTAGCATTTCCAACGCCTCACTCACAACACCATTCATCACAAATGTTTGACTACATTAATACAGCAATGCATCGCTTCTACACGTGGGATGTCAAACCCCAGCCAACATCTGCAGCCCAGGTGCGGCACAATGGAAAATATGGAGAACAGGGGAAATGTTGATCACGGCAATGGCTTGTTATGTTTATGTATCAGGAAAAACTCTGCTGACACTGAGAATAAATGTCCACCTCCTATCCAAACGTCACTCAACATTTAATAGAGGGCATCACATGGGAAAAGTTACTTCAGACTCACAAAAGTTGAGTAAATGAGGTTTTACATAGTACTTCCTGTGGTTTACTGCTGTGGGCTTTTCTGGAGCAACTGTGGACTGTAATTATACCAACGTGGACCGATTGTCACCACTTCTTTGTGATTGAGCACTCTCGCTGTCAACTTTCGCAATGATTTTAATGGGTCGAAACCGCTGGTGTGACAGAACTTGGAAAAAGCGCAGAAAACCCGGCAGCAACTAGTCCGTGTTGTCCACATTTTTTTAACATTAGGGCTGAAACACATCTGTTTCCAGAGACTTTCAACTTTACATGACACAAAATAAACCATATAATGGCACTTCCAGGGTAGTTATCTTTAAAATCGACGGGTGAAATTTAGCGAAAGCTCTCAGTTCTCTCTTATCAAATGTCACGTCAATGTACCAAAACAGTCGAGCATTATCCATAAAGAAAATATTTAAACATCTACACGCTCACATGGCAATATAATTTCTTAAGACCACAGGGAAAAAAGGCGGGAGGTGAAAGCATGATTAAAGCGGTGTGTGTTTTGACTCTAGGGCGGCTATCGTTTTACACGTGCTATGATTCCAGCTTTGGGAAATGAGTCCCTGACAACCAATCATTGTTATCCCGGGCATGTATTGGCCCAGTGCAACAGAACCTTTATTTAGGAGTTTGGCAGGTACCGGGTCTTGTCTGGATTAATTAGGGCAGAATGTAACCAGAGCTCAAGGCTGCTCCGGCTTCAGCCAAGGCCCGCTCTTCCGCTTCCAGGCCGCCTATCTCCATATTTATATCTGCCGGCTAACATGACTGAAACAATGCCTGCTAAGCTCAGTGTAGAAGCTGGCCCGAATCTGATCTCCATCCAGAGGGGAGCGGCAAGTATCAGATTCGTCAGTATTAAGCTTAAAGTATACTTGGCTATTATTTGTTTGCTTGGGTATGCGTACAGTGTAGGCATCAGTGTAGTACAGTGTAGTAATTATACTCTAAATAAGAAACTAGAACTACCAGTAGGTGGCAGTAAATGTATTTATGAGAAAATCATTAAGCCATTCATTCATTCATTTGATTCGATAAATATATATATACACACACACATACAGTATAAGTCAGTCCAAGACTATTGAGGATCATAAAACTGTGTTATGTCAATTTGTCATAGCGAAAGCTAATAATGTCAAGTAGGCGTCAAACTTGTATTTTTACAGCAATAAAAGCTCCAATAAAATTGACTTGAAATTCAAACACTCTCACACGTCAACAGCATGTCTTGACCACCACAGGCAGATTTTTCCTATATCCTGTTCACTACAGGAGCTCCCATACAACCATTATACAGGCATTTGCCGAAAGGCTGTGGTTTTCCTGATCAAATACTGTCAATTCATATATACATATATACTCATTTCCTTTAACTTAAAAAGGGAAAGGAATGCGATAACATAAAATACATTTTAACTTCTAACATTCAAAGCATCTCATATCTATTAAATATAAATATTTGATATAAAATTTAATATACATTTTTATTTGTACAATTTTTACATTGATTGTCAGCCCTAAAGTCAACACTGTATTTAGTGATTTAAAGATCTTAATATTTATTTCTTTACTTCACATATACATTGTTATTTTGAAAATTATACTGCAGATATGCATTGCTTTCTGTGTTTGAATTTCCTGTTTTGATATAGTTGAAAGCCCAACAATTTCACACATTTATTTTTCTTAAAACGGAACACATAAATATTTATATTTACATTTATTATTAAATATGTGAAATACATTTTTGTTTGAATTTCCTGTTTTGATGCAGTATAACAGTCCAATAATATCAGATATTTATTTTCTTAAATTAACAATGCATTCAAACAAAAATACTATAAATATTTACTATTATTATTATTATATTTCATAAAATCTTAACATTTTTATTTGAAAATATTTTAAATCGAATGACAGCTCTGATCTGAACACAATACATGTCACTTTACCTTTATCTAGTGATTTCTCTACAGCTGTCCTCTTGGGCGAGTTGATCTTCTTAATGAGGGTAAGGTGTACGATATCGCCCGTCCGCTTCATTACCTCCAGGACTTCCTGGTTGGTGAATCCCTGGAGGTTCACGCCATCCAACTGTTCCCACAGACACAAAGACAATCAAGAAGTCACTTCAGGCCCAGCTAACCGACTGATTAGCCTAGCGTGAGGCTTGGGAAAGCGCGACAGCTCAAACCCGTTCTTATTAAAGTGTGAATCGACATGAAATGAAAGAGACATCTCACTTAGTTGGCGTTCTGTTCGGTCAGAGCGCTTGTATGGACAACAAGGCTAATTAAGGGAGAGCTCATTAAAAAGTGATTAAGAACCCACTGCTATTATCCTGTCGTGGATGAGGATTTTCCCACTCTGCTCAGCGGCGCTGCCTGGAACCACGTTCTTCACGAAGACACCCACCGCATCTGACATGCAACAGAGACGAGAGACAATAATTAACAGCGTACTGATTAATCGTCGGGTTTCTGGGAAAACAAGGCAAAATATGTTTCTTACCCTTAGTGGTCAAAGCGTTGTGTCCGATTATGGAGATCCCGAGGCTCTGGCCTTCCTTCTTTTTTAACGCAACTTCATGGATTTCGTAGCCCTCCAAATTTGGCTGCAACTTTACAGATCAAACACTGACATTTGTTTTATTGTTTCTAAACACTGCTTTTTGTTACAGGGTGAATCTACAAAAACATGTTTGGGCCCTATATTAACCTAAAACCAATAGAAAAAAATTATACGACATCACTGTGAGGCGTCCGGGTGTACTTTTGGCGTACATTAAGAAAAAGTCATAGTGACTCTAACTGAATTCCCACTTCTATAGGACAGTTATACAATTACTGTAAAATAAAGATTATTTTTGGCTTAAATCAGCCTAAAAGGCAAAATGATTATAAATATGCTGTATTAATATTAATCATGTATACTTTTTGCATTATAGTTAAGAGAATTTGGAGATAATTCAAAATGTTACAAGAAATTATAAAGCAAAATAAAATAAAGAAAATTTCTCCTCCAATGTCTTGCAGAAATACACCTGGATATTTTATTTCAATATTATTTCAGTGATTATTTTATTTCAATATTTTTTTAATGATTATTTCATTTGAATATTACATATTTTATATTTTTATTAATGCAATACAACTTTCATTTAATTTTAGCAAAAAAATCAATTTAAGGTGATAAAACAAATACTAAAATATTATATAAACAATTACAATTTAAATACATCTTATATATTTGCTTTATGACAATGATAATTTTGGTGACCAAAGTACTTATTTATTGTTAAAATAATGTCTTGATAAAAACCATGATCACAGAATTTGCCTATAAATTTTTTATTTAAAATGCAAACATTATATATATATATATACACAAATTAAATAAATAAATGAAATTGTATATTTATTTAAAACAAAAACTGAATATGTATATATATATATATATATATATATATATATATATAT